TAGGGAAGGATGCTTCTGTGCCTTTCTTTAGCAGTGGATATTTTTATTGCTAAATATTTAGCCTTGATTGCTGTAGCTTGATTCGTTACTATAGCCTCTTCATTTAAAGTTAAAAACAAGCTTTGCTTTCCTTGATTAAGGCAGCTAAGCTTCTGGGGAAAAACGTGGTGAACATCGTGTCCTTACATAGTCCGTGTCCTTACATCGTGTCCGTGTACATAGTCTAGGTAAGAAGCCTAGCTATTCTTCAGGAGTCTTCTCTTTCTCCTGAGTCGTTAGTAGATAAGCAGACCCAACCCACATGGGATATGTAGCCTCAAGATGAACCAGAAAGGACTGCAATAGAATGGAGCAGAGCTGTTCTGTCATTTCTTCCATAACCATTTTGTCATATTATAATTAAATGCCTTTCTTTGAAGAGAGAAGAGAGAAATAACCAGCCCTTCCATTGATCATATTAGGAAACTGTGCAGTGTTCAGGTAGCGTTAGTCCTGCAGAGGAGTACTGTTCTTCTAAGAGCAGAGGATGCAGTGATCTCCAGTGCTTGGAGGTCAGTTTTCATATTTCTTTAGTACAGAGACAAACTTTCAAGGTATTGGGGAAAAGATTGTCAAACTCCAGGATGGTGTTTTTTTCCTTGTCTTTCAAGAGTCAGTTTAACTGTAACCTAATGCTAATTCAATTTGATCCACAAAAATAATTGCATGTTGAATTAGAAAGCAAGCCAAAAGGTAAGTGATCTTTATTTCAGATGGCTATGCACTTCCAGAAAGATTGACCTTAGCATATCTTCAGGAAACCACTAAAGGTCACAGGTATTACACTTGCAGAAAAATTACAAAAGGGAGATCTTGAGCAAAAGGTCCCTGAAGACCAAGACAAGCCCAAGATGTTACTCGGAAGGTCTTTGCTGCATCGCATTTGTAGTTTGAAGCTGCTGTTATATATACTGTCATCAAAATCCGGTGTAAGTCACTTCATTGTTGAAGTTTAGCAAAGAATAAGAATGTATCACAAAGCCATGAACTTCGTGCGAGTAGTCTGTATCATCGCTGGTAGATTCGTTTAAAGTTTTTCAGTCCACCCCATCCCCGTCTTCCTCATCCTTTAGAGGATGTAGCTTGGAGTGGTGCATGAATAGATGTCTTTAGTCAGATCAGTAGACAGGACTCGTAAGCTAAACATTCTGATAATTCTTGGTTAAGCCAAAATTGCCTCCTTCCTAAGTGAACATGTGTTTGGCTTAACTGAGTCCCCATTAGTCATTGTTATTTGGTTAGAATCAGCCCCGTAAGTAGAGGAAATCTTATCAGAACTCCTATTTGAGTGGCTGCTTTAGTCAGTTTTGGAAATAAAAAAAACCACAACCTAACCTAAATCAGTAATCCCAGTGATTAGAATTCTGAAGAATTTAACTACTTTGGAGGAAAGCTTTTTTTAAATACTCTTGTGCATCCTTAGTTTTAGCATGGAAGTGCGAAGCCTAGCTTCCGCGCATCCTCCCTGGTGAGTCTTTGACTTAAGTCTTTAGCTGCTTCTTACAAATTTTAAGTCTTCTGTATTCCTCTGTGGTTGATGCATATTGTATACTTTGTGGTTTGTTTTTTGTTTTCTACTTTAAGATTCTCTTTCACTGGGAAAACTGAGTATTTCTTAGCTGAATTATGTATTATCTCAAATGATAAAAATTTGAAATGATAATGTATTTAAAGTGTCCCCTTCCAATTTCTTCTTAGTGACTTTGTGAAAGGTATTTTTCTACAGCAGTTCTGTGCTAAGGTAGTCTTGTTCCAAAACTGCCCTTGAAGATGCTGTCACAACACTGTGGAAAGGTCTTACAAACAGTTGTGCATGTTTTTATAGAATAAACCTGCAAAAAGGAGGAAGCCGGAAAGAAATAGAAATAAGGGTATTGGACAAAAGCTATATAGTGAAACTAAACTGGTACCTAAATATTATGATTATGTCCATTAATTTCTGTGTGATCCGTAGACACTTCTGTAGGTCATGTGCTGTCTTGATGCGTTCATTCATTGAAGTTGGAGTGGTAGGAATCAGCCAAAGAAGCTGTGAAACTTTGCTAACACTTAGAACTTATTTGTGAAGTTTATTTCCGAAGCAATTTTGAGTCTGTAAAATATGTGAATAAATATCTGATTAAGGTTTGAAGCAAACACAAAACCCACTTATTCCATCTAAGAGAAGATCACAGATGTTCCTTTTGTAAGGTCTTGGCACTGGGATACTGTGGAGAGAGCAGCATGTTTGTTGCTTTGTGTGTGTGGTTTTTCTTTTTTAAATACGTAGATGGAAAGGCCAAAAAACTCCATGTTTTTGGACAAGTCAAGTTAGCAACAACAGATTTCTGGGTTTATGTTTTGTCATGGCAGTTCAAGTGAGAACCTTAGTGTTATTTTAACAACTATTTGTATTTAATTTATTTAATGAGCCTAAGACCCACATTCAACATTCGGAAGGACTGTTAGCCCCATCTGCTCATTAGATAATTGGCACAGTGGCCTTTGTGTTTAGGAGGATTGTTTGAAAGAGACTTGCTAATTGTTTTGCTTTGATAGCTTGTTAATTTTTAAGTCCATTTGATACAAATTTGTTTAAATAATTGGTATTAACACTGAGAATGTACATTGCAGCATTTACTTTTTAAGCCAAGTTTAAGAAAATGCAGATTCTGTTTTTCTATGTATAAATTTCCAGACTTTAAATAATTAAATACTGTCACGGAGCATGCGTTCAAACACAAGTTCAGGAGAAAACATTGGCAACTACGTTGGGTAACTATATTTTCTTAAATCAGCTTTTTATTTTGCACAAAACCAATTGCACTGCTGATGAGCACAACAGAACACAAATTGCTTATGAGTACAAAACGTAAGTGGCTTCTACTGTTTGGTAGGTGCCTTCCAGTAGTTGTAACCTCAGCCGTACACTAGTATAGAACTTCCCTGAAGTACCCACCCAGATACAGCTCTTTCTAAGTTGGTTCTTATGCTGTTGCCTGAAACAAATTTAAAGCTCTCTTGATGCTAGCATTTTTCCTACTAGCACCTCTGTTCAAAACAGTAATTCTTTCTACTTAGAGTTACTTTTATATCTAGGTGGGTTTCATTAAAGCATCTTCAGAAAATCAACAGGAGCTGTTAGCATTGCCGTGCATACTTTTTAATAGGTAAGAGGGGGCAGGAATCAAAAGTTTATATTTTTTTATTTAACATACATTTAGCATGTGGGTATGACAATCAAATGACGAAGCTGAATGAAAATTGAGACTTACCTTGCTGTTGATCTGTCAGTGCGATTATTCTAGTACACGCTTCTCAGCCGCAGCAGATGTCTTTTGTTTTCCAGTCTTCCTGTTGCACGTTGAGGTTTTTCTCTCCCCAGACGTGTTTTCCCCTCTTCCCACCCTGAAAACATTTACCTGCCTCGGGCTTGGATTGGGCAATTGAGTGTTGAATTTCAGTGCTGGGGGGTTTTTTTAGCTGAATTTTTCAGATATTCAGTGCCTAGAAATCAACTCAAAATCCTATTTCATGCAGCTTTGCAGGGCTTGAAGTGGGAGCTTTATGTGTAGTTGAAAGCTGAGGTTTCCCACTGCAGATGATTGCGAATGGGCTTTGGCTCTGGAAATGACCAGAGGCATGACTACAAAACTGATGCTTCTTTTGTTTTTTTATTTAAAAAAAAAAAAACAAAAGGTGTGGGTGTATTGCCTTTCCCTGGATCCTTTACATTCATCATGAGGTCGAACGCATATATTTCAAATGAAGCCAATGGGCTTTTAAAAGTTCTGGGATGCAAAATACAGTCTAGTTTCAATTTAGAAGGTGCTTTGTGTTTTTAATTTAATACAGGGCAGGTACAGATATGTAATGGAACGTATGCATTGTGGTATACAGTTGTATTTATGTTAATTCTGAGTGACGTAATAACTTGGCTGTGACTAAATGGGCTGTCCTCCCTTTGTGGTTGTACTATCTTATAGCTTTAATGCCATTCCTTCTTGCCCCCTGTATGACACTTCTCTAAGGCTAATGCTAGAGGAGGATGGAAGTGGAGAAAAATCTAAATGATGGCTATTTGTTTCACCTTGCTGAAAATATCAATGCAGTATAACAAAATATCCTTACAGTGTGTTTGGGAAGATTGTGAAATGCTTAACTCTAATGAAGAATCTGTTCCCTAGCGCTCTGTGAAAGAAGGGGAAAATGGGACTTCTGAGTTGGTTTCTGCCGTTCAGAATGTCAGCCCTAATTCTTGAGTGAGCACGAGAACTCCACTGGTGATCGCTCATGATTGTATCTGTTGTAACTACTTTTGTTGTTTTTAGGAAATAGAGATTAATAATGTAATTAATGTGTAATGTGAGTAATGTGAGCTATATGTCAGTAGCTGTATATTTTTAAAATGTGGAATAAACATTATCCAACTGTAGAGTCTCCAAATGATGAACATGTCAAGAAAATTTTGACACTGAAGGGCTCCCATATTTAACTAAAATACACACAAAAATGGAGAATAAAGCTCTCCAAAGCATGGGAACATAGTTAAACTTCCCAAACTGTCAGAAGGAAGTATGGAAGCCAAATATTGTGGAGATGAATTTTAATTTACAATTTTGTGCCTGTAATAAAAGTGGTAAAACTGCATTCCCAGGGTTTAACTGTCTATCAGAAAGATGAATTATATGTATAATCATTGACTAAACATATAGTAAAATATCTTTTGGATTAAAGGTTCCCAATCTATTGGTATATGCTCCTTTGCACTTCAGAGTTGTTGGCATTTCCCAGCTATCTGCAGCTGAGTGCTCACCTGAGCTGGAAGACAGCAACAAGCAGTTATTCCTAAGCGCTTCCTCTTCCGTGTGTGCAAGTGGCAAGGCTGAGGTAGGGAGGGGATGTACAGGGATAAGTAAGTCAGATTTCTGGTGGCAGGGGGAGGAGATACTTAAAGCTCTCCAAGCTTTTTGCCGGGATACCACTGTTTCATGATAATCTATAGCTTACTGTTTTGTGAAAGTACTACCATTGTATTTTGGCTGCTATTGTGATAGCATAGCATTGTAAAAATCATAGGGCTGGGCTGGTCACCTTACCTATAGTAAGTTCCAAAGAGTTTAGTCTTAAGGCTGCTGTTCAAAATCAAATACCGTAACTGCTTTTCACTTATTTTACGATACCAGTTTAGAAATTGTGGCTATGATGGTGTGTAGGGTTTTGTGTGTGTGTGTGTGTGTGTGTGTGTGTGTGTGTGTTTTGCTAGTTGTGTTATACAGGTGGAATATGAAACGGCAAAGGAATTAGAATTTCTGATTATGTAATTGTGGGGTTGTATACTGTTGCGAATAAAATATTCCCTGTAAATCTTGTCCACTATGTTATCCCAATTAGATGACTAGAATTAAATGGGAGGTGATAGAAAAAGAAGGCTCACAGTAGTTGTGCTTTGGCTTATAGGGAATTTACTGTAAAATAATTACTTTCAGACATGTATTGAGTCTACGTACACGCTTGTCTAGATGAGAGAAAATAGATTTTAGCTGTATTACGAGAGAGAATGTTTTTGATCAGTTTACCTTGGCATCTCTTGAATTTGAGCAAAGAGGCAGAATGAGTTCTGAGTGTTGAAGATTTTCAGTCTTTAAGCAGTGTGATTTCTTGCACCTTCATTTGATTGTGATGTTCTCTCTTGGTTTTATGCTAGCGTCGTCTCTGGTTAGAACTGGAGTTAGTAGAAGGTGTGTATACGACTCGTAACATTCAGATAAATGTTCAGCTCTGTCTTAAGGAGTCAGTGAAATGTAACGCAAGCTCACAGGCACTAGTGGAAACCAACAGGAAATTTAAAATAAAATAAAAAGATGTCAATTTCAATATCTTTTCTAATAGCAACGATTTCGTGAACTGGATGATAGGAAGCGTATTCTTATAGAGAACTGCAAGGAATTGCTGAAAAAAGCTCGACAGGTGTGCAAACTGAGTCCGGATCAACATCTTCCAAAAGAATTTCAAACTGTATGTACAAAAAATGAATCTCCATATACATTTTGTGCAGTGAACACTGTTGTCATTTTTCCAGCAAAGAATATAATTTATTTAATGCTAGTAGTGTACCAGTAAGGGATGATGTGAATTTCTGGTACTGTTGGACTGTATATTGTTGCTAATCCTTTTACAGCACCTTTAAATAGTGAGCTAATAAAAGCTGGGGTATGCTATGACTATTACTTTGTTCTGTGCAGAGGGGAGAGGAAATCTGATCTGAAATTTCAGTTAAAATCCACATTCTTCTATTAACAGAAGTAGTTTGAGGCCATATTCTTTTAAATTATCGCTCTGATGGAGCGACACAGAAGCATTAAACCTGGCCTAACTGCCCACCTGGAGGTCTTCCCAGCATTCAGAGTATTTGTGTGGCTTAACTAGTATAGCCCTTAGCTTGTGCTAAGTCTTTGAGCATCCGTATGTGCACAAGGTAGGCAAGTAAGGAGCAATTATGTATCTGTAATAACACTGTAGTCTTCCCTCTCAGTCGAGAATAGTTTGTGAGGGAATCTTGCAGTGGTAAATCTGAATATCTGGCATCCTGAATAAAAGTAATCTAATATTGTCTTGCTCGATTTCTTTTTAGTAAAATTCACTGCTTCATTAGTATTGCTGTAAAACGTATGCGTCCTTTCTCTTGTAGGCTTTTCAGGCTCTTCGAACACGTTGGAGGAAATTGATGCTTTCCTGAATGAGGAGAAATCCAGGGCCTCCTGTTTCACAGGCCTGAATGCTTCGGTGTGTTCACTGCTTTCTCTCCCTGCTCCTTTCCTCCCCCTCCAACTGTATTGTATTTGCTTCCCACTCTGTACTAGATCTCTTGGTATAATAAGCTAGACAGCAGGAACAATGTACTGTAAATGCCAGATTCTGCATCTATTAGAATTTTAAGTAGGTTCTTCCGAAGGAACAGTGTTTTCTGTGTATTTAAAAAAAAAAAAAAAAAAAAGTTGCATTAACCTGAAAAAAGCAATACTTTACAGGTTTTTTTGGTTTAAAACTAGAAACGTCTCTTGTTCAGAACACGGTGCAATAGGCTATGTAATTGTATTTGAACAGAATCAGTGCAGTGTGTTATTTTTACAGTGAAGGCTAGAAATGATAAACATTTTGTTGACTACTTGTTTTTTTCCTTCTGGCAGGTTGTTGAAGAATACAATAAGCGGACACAAGAAATACAACAGCTGATGGAAGAACTAGAGGAAAAGAAAAATGTGCTGGATAACTATAAACAAAATATTTCACAGGTAATAATTGAAATTAGCACTTCTGTTTCAATGTGTCCTTATTAGAATAGACTGTATGTAGAAAAAAAATATAAATATGTGTACATTCATTTTTGGGTAACATTTCAAGTTTTGAGTGTGAACTGAGGTGTTCCGTAGTTACAGTGTTTTTTATACTTAGTTGCTATTAAGAAAAGTTGAGTTAAACGTGGTTTTACATGAGTATTTCTTGTTCTAGGTCAAAGAGAGGTGGCTAAACCCCTTGAAAAAGCTGGTTGAGCAAATCAATGAGAAGTTCAGTAACTTTTTTAGTTCTATGCAGTGCGCTGGTGAAGTTGATCTTCATGTAGAAAATGAGGTATGATATAATTTTCATGCAGAAGAATAACAAACTCATTTTCCTGCATCTTCCTGCACTTGTATATTGCTAGAGACCAAATAATAATTTGGCTTTTGGATTATAGGAAAGATGATTGTTCAAAGGTTCTTCATGTTTTTTAAACTATTGAACAAACTTTTTTGAAATACTAGAACTGGCTGATCAGTCTAACAAAAGAAAAATAAGTCTTTGTCCGGTTACGTAGGTGTTCAACTCTATTGACTTTTGGAAGCTTCCTGCAACTGAATAAATAATCATCTTTCTCTAAGACTAAATTGCTGGGTTTTTTTATCTTTTCACCAAAGGCTGATTTTGAGAAAGCCTTTTAGATTTTAAATTTCTGGAAATGTTTTTACTTTCTGCCAAAACAATACCCTTCAGGGAATGCAGCAACTGTTGGAGCTGTGCATTTATCTAAATTTTCAGAATAATATACCAGCTTCCTTCTTCTCACTGTAGTAGGTCGAAGTGGGCATCTTAGTTCTGTTTTTTTCCTTGCTGTTTTTCCATAACTTAGAGTGTTCAGTTAGAAGCATTTTACTTACTTTAGCTGTAACTCAGATTCATTATGTTAGTGATTTATTTCTGCTTTGTTGGCTAATTTGTGCTTTTCTATTACCATACAGTGACTATTTGGTGTTACAGTGATTTGGTTCTATGTGTACTTATTTTCAAGTCTGTTGGCGTTTTGACTGTTCTGGAGCAGTAGCAATCGTTTGGACCAGACTGTTATGCCATTGTTGATAGGCAGGATTTACCTCTGATGAAAAGTTTAAAGCCTCAGTAGTGCCTTGGGGAGAGATATTCAGTGGAGTGGGCTGAAATGAAATTGGATATTTTGTTTAAAATTGATCTCTGTAGTGATGATTTTAAGACTGTTTTATGTGATGCTTGCATTCTGCAACAGTGAAAGTGGACACTTAAAACATTTTTTGCTGTTGTAAATTACTCAAGCAGTTCTTAAAATATTAAAGTGGTAGTTATTTTTGGGGGCAGAAGCATAACTGAAAAAGCTCTTTACAGGAGCAGTGTATAAAAAGGTTTGTTTATATAGAAATTAGTACTGTGAAGCAGTGCATTAAAACATGGGCTTTTCAGTTCTTTTATGATAGTAAGTAACTATCATAATGTAGTTACTAGTTAAGATAGTTACTTACTGACTAATGCAGAGTCAGATCTGCATTAAACAAATACTGTCTGTTATCTAAAAATAAAAAAATAAGCTGGGAGAGAGTACACAAAAACGGTGTAAAGCAATTTAAAGGCAAAGGCGGTCTGGACCGTCTTTCTAAGTATCTTTCTTGGAAGGTCCTTTTTTTTTTTCATCTTGTGAAGATTTTGCAAGTAACTTGAGAGGTGAACTAGTGGTACACTGCCAAGGAGGTGCATAGCTTTTCCCCAAGAAATCAAGACCTTGATACAGAGAGGTGGATAAGCTGTTCTGGAGCCTGGGTTCTTTACCCTCCCTCTCTGCAGGAGGCTTTTTGGCCCTGACCTTGTAAATATCAAAAGAGAGAGCCTTTAGGCAGAATTATCATTGTTACAAATATTTCTGTGGCGCTGAAGGTCAGGCTTCTGTCAGCTTACCTTGCAGTCCTTTAGGAACCTTCACTAGTCTTCCCTTGACATCCTAGCAGAAACGTCATTGAACCTTCTGAGTTTCCTTGGTAGCACTTGTTAGCCAGAATCCAGAGTGCTTGCACTGATCATCCTCACCTTCCTCAGTTTCCCACAGGGAGTTTTGACCATTCTCGACAGGCCCTGGAATACCTAACCATTTTTTGTCTGTCAACAAAGACCTGACTTCGTGATGCCTCTGTGGCTGTGGTGTAGCCCAGATGTTTCTTACTAGAGGTTTTGCCAGCCTATGCCTTGTAAACTTCTCCCAGCCTCACTTCAGGCTGCGTCAATGCGTCTGAAACTAAAGTGGGCCTGGTGGCCTTAGGACCTGTTTTTTATTTCTCCTTTTGTGAAGCGGTCAAGTTCTCGTTGTCCCACAGGAAGCTCAGTCACTTTCCAAAGCAAAAGATCTTTTGCAAAAGATCTTTGCAAAAGATCTGCAAATATCTGTTAGAGAACAAACAGGAATTAAATTGTAAACTCATGGATATCTTTTCACGTGGATATTTTTAGGTGTTGCTAAGTCAGACAGTGGGTCTTTTGAGGCTGAGCTGACAATCAAGTACCAAATCCTAGTCAGATGGAAAGAGTTCATCTAAGTGATGGGTCTGTTATCTCTGCTGAGTAGGAGAGTCTCTCATTAGCTCCTCTCCGCAAAATATCACCCCAAAAAGGTCAACGCAACAGCACGTGCTTGTTTGGAAAACATGCTGCATGATTTTGCTGCTTAGGTTCCTGATTTTCAGACATGGCTATGAAGGTACAATCTGCAAATCTGAGAAGTTAAGTGTACTTTTAATAGTCTTCATTAGAGGCAAAAGAAGAATTTTTCCAATAGTGGAGGAGAATGAATTGGTAAGCAAAACTAGCCTGCAAATGGTATAAGTTGTAGTTAGTCTTGCTTTACTCCAGAATGTAGGTTGTAGTTGTGTTGCGCTTATCCTCATGGTACTCCAGTTTTCCTTGGAAGTGCCAACCCATTGCCAGTAGAGGAGACATTGAGAGTGAGAAAGGTAACTAGTCTTCAAAACTGGAAAAATCATGCACTTCTGTAGACTGAGTTTGCAATTATGCTGAATCACCTTCATTCTGTCGCAAAGACCATATGCATTTGTCTTAGCCTCAGGGATTCACAGTTTTGTGTTTCTGTAATGCTGGTAAACCAGAAGCACAAGAGATTTGTACTATATGACAGTAAATACTAGTATAAGACTGTACGCTTTGCAGTCCTGAGGATGTTTGTCTATCCACAGTTGTAACAAAACATCAGGAACACCAAAAGATGGCTTATTCTCCTGACTCAGCAGATCAGCTGATGTCCTCTCAAATCCTTTCAAGTATTAGATGCTATGTGGCATATACATTATTAATCCCAAAACAAGACACGAGGGTAGCAAAGAAGCTAAGTTTTGTTCCCACAGACTTAAAATGCATTAAGACAATTAAGAGGGTGTGGCGTATTTACTTCATGGCAACTGTTAGGCCTTGTTACGCTTCATAGAAGGCAGCCCTGCCGTTATCCAGGGGCTCGACTCTGCTGAATCACCAAGACTCGTATGCCTTTTGATGTCTATGGTATGTAGGAACCTAAAGCAGTCTGATGTGTGCCAGCTTCTGTGAGATGGTCTCCTCATTGTCTTCTTGCCACAACCCTCCTTTCTAAAACTGCAGGTAACCACTGGGGTGATGGTCATCAGTCCTTTCTTCTGCTCTAGGCATTAGTGTTGTGTACTATTTGGAGAATGAAGAACATGCGTGAAAGATTTTGTCTTAGTAGACCAAGTTGTAAGCAGTAAATATGGGTTTTCTGCACCGGAGATTATATCCCCGTTCTTGCACTAAGTTTACCTGGACTTTGCAAAGATCAGGAAGTACTCCAGAGATATTTTTTTCTTTAAATCACGAATGAGTTTACTTGCATGGGCCTTCTTTTCAACCACAATTGTTATCCCTACGCCTATGCCTCATAGATTCAAACCATTCTCAAGCATCAATCTTCTGTTAAAGAAAAGGCCTGAGCCAGAATCCTTTGTGTGTGGCTTTCCTGACTCTGCAGATGAAAAGGAAGTTGCTGTCATGGTGGGTTTTGTAGAGATTTTGTATCTCATCTGCTAGTGGAGGAAAAGTAGCCTCTCATCCTATTTTGGAATACAGTTTCAGAAGGATTTAATTGGAGTGCTTGCATTTGGAAAGTATCAGATATTTCTCTGGGAGCGTAACCTTTTTTTTTTTTTGGCTATCCTCCCCACTGTTTACGCTGATAGCATTATGCACCCTGATGCATGTTTTGAATCAGTGGAATTTGTAGTGGTGTTACTCCATCCTCTTTCTCTAGCCAGGACATGTATTTGTTGTCAAGTCCTTAATGCATATGAAGTCTTCCTTACTAGGGATTCAGAAATGAGTAAATCATTGCTGTGAGGAGAGAGTGGTATGAAAAAAGTTCTCTGTCTAACAAGAACAGATCAAAGTCTAGGAAACCTTATGAAATCGAATCGAAGCGAATATATCAATATTAGGTTGATTTCCTGTCATTTGTGTTTTCTTATCAAATAAGCTGTAATACAGAGGAGCTAAGTTTAACAGATGCTTACTTTTGTAGGAGGAGTATGACAAGTATGGGATTCGCATTAGAGTCAAATTCCGTAGTAGCACTGAGCTTCATGAATTGACTCCCTATCATCAGAGTGGAGGTGAGAAAAGTGTTTCAACTATGTTGTACCTGATGGCTCTACAGGAACTCAACAGATGTCCTTTTAGGGTTGTAGATGAAATAAATCAGGTAAGAATCAATAGCACAATAAATAAAGTCTTGTTATACACTTGCTTATGAAACAGTCGAGGGAGCAGACTCTTTTTTTCTTTATTTTTTTTTTCCTTTTCTATTTTTAAGGGAATGGATCCAGTCAATGAGAGAAGAGTTTTTGAAATGGTTGTGAAAACTGCTTGTAAAGAAAGCACATCTCAGTACTTCTTTATTACACCGAAGGTATAAGGATGGAAATTAAATTGAAAGTTTGATGTGTATGAGAGCTGAATTTTGTATGGTAACAACCCTGTAAACACTATATAACTTGCTTCTGGTTGGTTTCCTCTGACAGTATTAAATGGATGCGCTGTAACAGAATTTGTCCATTTTAAAGTCCTGGCAGGAATTCAAACAACCTATACCAAGGTTTACCTTGTAATAAATGTATTTTGGAACTTGTGACTTCTGTGAAAGCATCACAAGTTAACTAGCAGTAGATAGGGATACCGTGCAATAAGGCTGTCAAATGTAATACCCGTACCTCTCACAGAACATGGATTGTAGTGGAGACCAACTTCCAGGCGAGTCAAATAACGATCTTAAAAGAGGCTGCTGCTGCTGATCTCTGAAGCACAAGCATCTTGCGTTAACGGGGGAAAACTATTCAAGTATTAGACTGAGGCATATAAGCTTAGAAAGGGCCAATGCTATGTTCCATGGAAGAAGGCTAGAGGAGGACTTTTCAGTCCGGGATGACTGGTGCTTAGTTGTACTCTAGTGTTAAAACCAAAAACTGGATTATTGACTTATTAGGTTAAGATTACATGACTTGAAAGGGGTAGTAGGGTGGCTGTTCAGTCTGCATCAGAGGCTAATGTTATTTTCAGTTCAAAACAAGAGAGATTGAACTAGTAAAGATTACTTATGCACCAAGGTGGCAAGTGGTCAGTAATAATCTGTGCACTTTTTATTAAGATGTCAGTTCTCCTATCACCCAGTTAACTGCATTTTAAAAGATCTGGCTGCCCTTGTTTTCTTTAAATTTTCTTTAAAGAGCAGTTGAAGGACCTGTGAAAACCCACCTGCACGATTTACCTGACTGAAGACAGGAAAAGGGTGGTGCTTCCTCCTCCTTCTGATCTTGCAGTTTCCTTATTTCCGCACAGTTTGCTCATTTCTTTTCTGCGTTACCAATACAAAACAAGTAGGACAAAAGTAATCTTTCCCCTTTTGTCGTCTTGTATTTTTTTTCTCCTTACTGTCAGCTGTGCTTTTCTATGTTCTCCCCTACTTTGAGAAGTAAGAGGGTTGATTTAGATTTTGTAAGGATATAGTTCTACCAGCAGCAGTGCTTCCCACAAAGAGGGGCTGTAGAAGACAACTGTCTAGGGATCTAAGTCAGTTTTAAAAGTTGTGTTTGCTGTCAAATTACTAAGAATAGATAAGGAAGAAAATTAAGCATGCAGTGCTGACTGGAAAGGTTAGAGTGAAAATGAGAAAAAAGAAACAAATTTCAGCGGTTTAAGAGGAAAATTCCATTTAAAGTTTATGGTAAGAGGAAGATAAGGACTGTGTCGGACCATTATTCAGTAGCAAGAGAAGGCTGAAGTTTTATTTTGTTTTTTAGGGGGGTTGCTTTTTGTTGTTTACTAAGATCAACCACAGGTAGGTGATTAACACAGTAACCTGTGGTGAAGTTGTAATGACCTACCACAAAGAACAGTATTGAGAGTGCACTTCATATAAAGCTGATTTTAGCCTTCATATTAGCTGATGAGATGGTTCAGGTGAGCTGCATCAGAGGGTAATTAAAAGGCTGCCAAGAGCAAGCTGAGGCATGGAGTTCCAGTGGCTTACCTGCAGTTTCTGGAGAAATTAGTGTAGTCCTAGCTGTATGTAATCCCTTTTTAGAAAGTGAGATATGGAGTAACAGGCAACAAATTGTATGCTAATCTAAATTCCTTGTATGTATCCTGTGGCTCCAGGAGAAACTGTTATGTTGATTTTTTCAGTATGATTTTGACACTTTTCCCAGATATCCTTTTAAGGAAACTACAGAGGGATAGGGATATGGATTAACATGCAATAGGGTTGATTAGGAAAATTGTTTTCTGAATAGTCATGATTCACTATCAAAATGAGCAGATGACTGAATATGTTCTTCAGGAGTGAGTCTTTGCTTTGAAAATCAGTGTTTTTAATACCAGTCTACGATGAAATGGAGTATGCTTATTAAACTTGCAGATAACCACCATGTTGGGAGTGATTGCAGCTTTGCTGTAGAGCAAGATTAGAATTCAAAACAATCTTAGATTAGATAATATTATTTGAAAACAGGGTGTATTTCAGCAGGGACAAGCATAGGTCTTGGTATTTAAATGGGAGTAATGAAAAACAGCATCCGATCTCGGGCATAAATGCCTAAATGACTTGGGGGGAGAGAAATTACAGCACATTACAAATTGAGCATGAGTTGCAAGTAAGTTGCTTTCCTTAGCAGTACCATGGCAATAGGCATGTAGCTTGCAAGATGCATGAAGTTTATCGGTTTGCTGCACTTAGCCCTAACAAGACCCTGATTAGGAGTATCCGGCTTTGGCTGTCACACATCAGGAAAATAGTACAGTGGCTGGGATACTCCAGAAGACAGCAGTGCAACTTGTGAGAAGTTCTGAAAGCTTAACTTCCCACGAAGGAAATCACTTAGCTCAGAGGAGGAGGAGACTGAAGAGAGACAACTGTGTCCAAATATCTTTCCTCTACCCACCACCCTCCCCAAAGAAGAGAAGCAGTCAGTGTTCTCTGCCCACAGTGAATAGGGCAAAAAGTAGTAGCCTCATTTGCAGCAAAAAGGTACAGATTGGATATCAAGAAACATTTTCTCAGAGTAAGAATAGTGATGCACGGAAATAGGTTGTCTGAGGGAGCAGTAGAGTCTCTTTGGAAGTTTGTACGAACAAGTTCAATGTCATCTGTCAGGGTATAAAAATGATCTTGCTGTATTGACCTTTTGAGGTCTAATGCTTTATGTAGATCTCCTTCATCTCTTTTAGATAACGGGCAACACCTTCTGCTCTATCTTTACTTTGTTTTTTGTATTTTTCCCCAGCTCCTGCAGAATCTCACTTACAATGACAAGATGACAGTATTGTTTGTCTACAATGGACCTTTTATGATGGAAACAAACAAATGGAACTTAAAGGCTTTCTGTAGGCGACGGCGGCGAGTTGGAAGGATGGACGAACAGTGATACATACATATGTGTATAGATATGTGTGTGTGTGTGTGTGTATATTGTATGTAATCTTTTTGTAGATCCTTTTTGGAATACTTGGCATTCAAGACTTAAAGATTGTAAAAGGTGAGAACCTGCAAAGAACTGATGACTAACAGCTTGGTTCTTAGAACTTACATGAAAGTATAAAAGATGTGAAATGTATGATTTTTTTTTTTCCCAAATCTTTTATAATGGGCTATTTCTCCAAAGAAACTACTTTTTATCAGCAGTTGTTTTAAATAAAAAAGATGTTGCTTGTATTTTGCTTTTTTGTCAGTAAGGGCTCCTGCAATGTAAGCATGTAACATGAGAAATATAGTTGTTAGTTTTTCTAGATTACACTGGGTTGATCCTATGTCAATTTTTTTTCCGAAAATTGGAATTTACTTTTGGTAAAAAGTGTCCTAATTCAGTTAAGGGCTTATTCCGAACTTTTCCTATTGAAATTGGAACTTTC